ATATTATATTTTATTACATTTCTTGTGCAGCTGTATTAAACCCTGACTGAATAAACAGAAATTTTGTATTTCGCGCACATTATTAAACTTTTACATATTTATTAAATATAACAAAACAGGAATCTGTTAGGATGCTAACTGGAAAAAAAGGAAAGGAAAAAAGTAAAACACTTGATCKACCCTGAACAGAGAAATGTAGAAGTAACATTTAAACACAGGGTAACATTTAATCTAAAGATTTACTTAAAACCAAACTATAAACATGACCTGAAAGGAGTGAACATACAAATCAGTCCTGCAGCTGTTTGTTTATATTTCCTCTGGTTCTAACTGGACTGARTGACATCACTTACTGTTCATTTGATTGGTTCACTGGCCGGGTTACGTCTCACAGGTTAACTTTACATTAATTATTTATAGTGACTAACTTTTTGTTTTGTTCTTTCACAAGAAGCTAACGTTAGCCACAGTTAGCTTACCGTTCTCTGCCGTCCTGCTCTCTTGTCTTTAGCGTAATACTGCTGYATAGTCCGGTACAGCTTTCGGTACTTTTCCTTCCAGTTTGGTGTACTCCGTTATAGGGCTGCCACGATTAGTCGACTAGTCACGATTATTGTCGACTATTAAAATCGTCGACTAAAAGTTGATGCGTCGTTTTTTTTTCTAACTTTGTTTTTCTCTCCAAACTGCTGCGGCACCTTCCACTGCCACGTCTGCCTTTCTGTCCTTGATAAACGTGCAGAAGAGTGGTAATTAGGGCTGCCACAAATGATTTAAAAAAATACGAAGTTCGGAAAAAAAACACGCATCGACTATTAAATTAATTGTTGACGATTTTAACAGTCGACTAATCGTGGCAGCCCTAGATTGTTGTGTCGCAAATAAAAGTAAATGAGATTTAATTAATTAATGTTTAATTATGACCACATCGAGGCGGATCTCTGCTCAGCAGGGCCGGGCWGAGAGCAGCGACGCCCTCTACTGGCTGAGAGCAAAACTACACTGAAATAAGTTTTAAACAGATGTTTTTAATTAATCGAGTGGAAGGAATTTTAATCTAATAAACCATTATTCAGCAATTAATCGTAAGTCGATGACAGGTCTCGACTGAAGGTTTTGATTGACAGGTCTTGACTGATTGACAGGTCCCGTTGTCTCGTGTTTTCTTCACCTCCTTTGTCTCTGCCTCTCCAGTCGTCTTTTCGTTACTTTGATCTTTAGCAGCTGAACTTTAGAGTTTTAAGTTTCAAAATCTTATTTTTCTTCTGTTTTCCGTCTCTCCTCATCCTCTCCTCCTCCATCTTCTGTCTCCTCCTCCTCATCCTCACCTCTTCATCTCGTCTTCTTCCTGCGTCTGTCCTCGCTCGAAGCTTCGAGTCGTCGGAGGAAGTTCTTCCTGCGTCCCCGCGCATCACTTCCTTCCCGTGCGTGAGCGGTTCTCCTGCCAGCCTGGCGACGTCCATGGACGCCGTGGCAGTCGGCTCCTCCCCTCGTCGCCGCCGCTTACAGCCCACCTCCATGTAGAAACCCCGCCCCCTCCTGCCCTTACTGACCCCTCCCTGTCTCACCTGGGCAGGTAAACGAGAGCAGCACCCTTCCATCAGCAGGAACAAAATCTATCTGAATGTTGAGAATAATTATTAAAAATGTTTTTGTAAATCCTTGAACGTCATAGATGACCTCAGTGGGAGGAGTTTGTGTTGTCATGGTGATGTAGAGATGCTAACAGGTGTTAACAGGCACCTTTCAGTTTCTTTACAACCGGATCGAAACAGATCACATCGCTCGGACCCTCAGACTTTAGAACGCCAGGGGCAACCCTAAGCCCCGCATTAACTCCGCCCCAAACCTGCTCACCTGACCTCAGATCAGTTTCATGAAGTCTTTATGAGTTAGGATGATTTAATTTATTCTTTTAGACTGAATTATAACGTTTCTTCTTACAGGTGAGTTTTCTGAGTAAACACATTTCTCCCTCGTCTGCAGGTATGAAGAGTCTTCTGAGGAGGCGGAGTCTAAAGAAGACTCATCAGACTCTGAGAAAAAGGACCAATAACATCCATCACTGCTCCCCCCACCTCCACATTTCACTGAAGCTCCTCCCCCCTCACCTCTCAAGCTTCCTGTTTGTTGACAGAGGAACAGGGGGGTGGGGTTTATGTTGCCAATGTGTTTGTCTCTGGTAACCATGGGAACTGCAGATGGTCTCCATGGTTACGGCTGCTGTCAAACTGCCGGTGTTGGTGTTTGTTGCGACTTGGTGCCTACATGGCTCCTCCCCTTTCTTCACTCACACAGAAACAGAGCTGCTGCAGGGGGCGGGGCCAGAATAAACAGGCTTCAGTGGTGGGCGTGACCAAAGGTAGCACGATGTTCTTGTGTGTTTGCACCTGTTGGCCCAGGTAAACCAGGAAGCTGTTAGATCTGCTGCTGAGCAGAGACCAGAACCACATCCTGAGCTCACCTTCAGATCAGCATCATCCAGGTGTGGCTCCTGGTCTCTGTCGACATGGTCCAGGTGTGGCTCCTGGTCTCTGTCGACATGGTCCAGGTGTGGCTCCTGGTCTCTGTCGACATGGTCCAGGTGTGGCTCCTGGTCTCTGTCGACATGGTCCAGGTGTGGCTCCTGGTCTCTGTCGACATGGTCCAGGTGTGGCTCCTGGTCTGTGTCGACATGGT